ATCCCAGCTTCATTCTCTGGTTCTGGGTTTTCTGATTTTTCTCTTAACTAGAATTCAGTCACAATATCAACAGAAAGGTCATGTGTGAGTGGATTTATCCCAGATCCAAAAAAGCATATGTCCTGCCATACCAGATCTTGAAAAACTATCTTTCCTACAATGGTTTTTTTTTTCCTACCTACCTCTTCCTAGCTCTTTCCAAGTTAGGCAGTTGCAAAATCAGAGAGAGATTTCAGAAGAATGATGTAGCTAATTTGCAACTGGCAAAGGGACTATGGCTTTTCTTGTAAAAGTACACTGTATCCTTAATTACCAAAATTGAGACCCTCACTATTTACACTCACTTATCTGAAAACAAATACCACTCAAGAGACTTTAGAGAAAAATAATATGTTTAGTCAAACAAATGTAAGCAATGAGAAAGGATGAGGAACAGCAGAAGCAGTTAAAACAACACAAGGAATTATAGCTTCCTCTGGATATATTTATGGGGTTGGCAATCACAGGTTAGTATCACTGTCTGATTCATAGTCTCATTTAGGAGAAAATGGTTACTAAATGTGGTAAGATTGATTTGGATCAGCTGACAGTATGAGCTTTTAATAAGTAGGCCTTTCCTCTAGATAAGTTTCTCCTGCACTCCTGTTTCAGTAAATGTAATATAAACATATATTTAAAAGTATTTTTAAATATGCTGTATAAGGAATAGTGCAACTTGTTCACATTTCTCAAGTATTAAGTAAGCATCCAGTGTGTGTTTTAGTCTCCAAAGCACTCACCTGGGCTACCATAAATTACTGTTCCAGAGGGGTTGTTCAGCTGTGCTAACCTTGATGCATTAAACACAGATGGTCCAAATGCTAAAAATCAGTCTGTGCCTTTGCGCAGTGTCAGCAACCTCTGTGTGGGCAGATGTCATCTCAGGGTGTCACCTCATGATCTTATACGGCCTTGCAAGTATTCTACCATCAGTTCCCTCCTATATCTTTTTTTTCAAAATACAGACTCCTTTTGCCCGTCCCCTTTCCACTTAGTTTAGGAGTCCCAGAGCCTTTCCTGTGCAGGTCCAAGTAGGCTGCTTCACTTGGCTCAGAAGTTCTGTTGCCTTCCTTCTTGGAGCTGTGTTGACTCAGGCTAGCTGCAACCACAGGACCTTTCTGCAGCTCAAGTACATTTATTTCCTGGGCTAGGCCACAATCCACAGGCATTAGTCCTTAAGCTGTTCACATCTCCTCAGTATGGGTGAAAAGGCAAAAAATAGGTGCAGCCCTCTTTCTCAGAGTTTGTTCTTGATGACTGGGAGGAGAGGAACCACCCCAAGGCTCCTGATCCACAAGCATTAAACACAAAATAACTCCTTCTCAAGCAAGAAAAATTCCCAGGGGACAGTGACTATCACAACATGACCTACTACTCTTCCCTAGATCATCATCTTCTCCGGGATTTTAAGAACCACACCATGAACCGAGATTAACTGGCTCCTAATCCCTACTATCCTTAAAGAGAACAGACATCCTGTTCCACCATTTCTCATCTGCTTTTCCCTAAAAATTGACCTTGAGTCAACCTGTACTTGCTTGTCTGTGAAAGCATCCTATTTGGTACAGGGGTGTTTGCTTTAGTCTGCAGTGAATTAAGCTTTTCTTACTTCTCAGTGGGTGGACACAATGGGCCAAATCCCTCTCCCAGGCACATGTAGCGAAGCCAATTAAGAGAAACTAAGAATACTAAAAGGTGTTGACTAGCTTACGTGAAAAAGTTGTGAACATAATGCAAGCACTGTTTCTGATGCATCCATTCTTGTATAATAAAAGCAGTGGCTGCTTCAGTTATAAATATTTACTTATCTGAAACTATGAATAATTAAAAAAACTTAAGCAAGGAAAAATTCTTCAGGGCACCAGAGAATGAGAGATTTATACAGGAGATATTCATAATTTATCAGAAGCAATCATCAAATGAGGCCTTGTGAAGAGTGCAGAAAAGCTCCACATGCTCCCGTAGGGGTAAACTATGCTATTTCTCCATTTGTGGTGTCACCTGTATGAGAGGCTGTGACTGGGTTTTTTGTTCATGGACCCCAACTAAAGCAATCCTAACATGCTATTCCCATGGAAGAGCCTACAGAAAGGACTAACAGAAAAACCATATTTGGTGCTGTCTCATCAGCATTGCTCAGCTGCACATTGTTCAGGAATGAAGCAGTAGCTACACAATATTCCTTTATAAGCTTTTTCCTTACCCAGTCTCAGGGGAAGATCTGGGGCAAGGGGGGTGGGGAAAGTGGTACAGTTGCACTCCACTTTGATTTTTGCTCCACCCAAATTTTAAAACCAGCTACCCAGGAGACACTGCAGCATTTCTATTCAGGCAGGGCTGAGGAATCAATTGGCTTCATGGCTCATTATAATCTCCCTGATTCTTGCTAATCTCTTTTTATTCCATAGGTGTTAACAATCCTCTCCTTTTTAATGTTCTTGATGTTCCATTAATCAAGTTATCTTTCTGCCTATCCATTGTCAAGCTGCTAAAGGAGGGTAGTTTTTTTTTTGTTTTTTTTTAACAAATCTGAGTAACTATTTAACTACAATGACTACAAGACTAATACAATAACAATTTTGGACTATTTTTACCTAGTTTGTTGTATATAAGATAGCAAATTGGCACATGTTCCAATAACATTGTTTTTGTTTGTACTTTGTTCTTAAACTGAATAAATACAGCCCTGGGTCCCTAGTATATTAGCAAGTCTTCTACTTTCACTTTAACTGGAGAAAAAGACATGTTGCATTATATATGATGATGCACCACACTGCCTGCACATCCCTTTTCAAAACCCCTGATCTACCCATGCCCACTCTTCACATCTCTTATAAACTTCAATTGTGTTGGCCACAGGAACAGGTAAAATAAAGGTATTTAGCAGGGGTGATGGTTTTTAAGGTACTCTAAACATTATGGCATTATAAAAAAGGAAGTACAGTAAGAATCACTGTGGCTTGTCCTAATGTCTCTTCAGTCTGATATTTTAAGAAAAGAGAGTAACTTCTCCCACTCTGTTCAGGATACAGTGTTAGGTGGTGCCCACCTACCTGCTTACAACATGCTGCAAAAGATTCCTTGATAACAGTGAAGGAATAAACAGATTTCAGAAATAAATAACTGTACAATAAGACAATATACTGTTGGCAAGTACCCTAGAAAGAAAAATTCCACCCAAATAAGCAATAAGCTACAAATGAAAATTCTCTAGCATTGAAAACCCTGCGACAGAGCAACATGTCTGCTGCAAATATGTATTATCACTGAGACAGACACTGCAGGACTTTTGAATTTTCTCAAGTACTGAAATAAAGAATGTGAATTTACTTTATACAATGGAAAGGATTAAAAAACCCATTAATGCTTTCTGGAAACTATGAAAAGCATTTCAGTTAGTTAGTTTTACCCACTCTACACCTATTGAGCACTATCAACATTCTCCTTTCCCCATTTACCCTGTTCACAGGAAATATTCACAGGTTAAATATATAGAGAATGACTAACTGGCTCAGAGATTCAGATGTCTTCTAGCCTTTGTGAAATAAAGGCTTTTATTCACATGTTTCAATGTTAGCTATTCTGGTTAAAGAAAAGAGTTTATTCAAGGATGTTTGAATATGCACTTTGTAATAGCTCCCTCAGCTTCTTTTGCAAGGTTCCCAGACTGTAAATGACAAGGCAATGGCATGCCTTGTGAACTGTTTTACTGGTAAAATCAAATTCTGGACTGGAGCATATGCAACTTTTTTACCTATATAAACTTACACGCAATAGAATTGACAGAAAACTATTTGCAAGATCAGCCAGGCATACATAACTTGCTGGTAACGCAACCATTCAGATATAACAAAGTGTGTCGTTGTGCTTATGAGATAGTTATCCTAACTGCTAATGAGTTACACAATGGTAGAAAAGCACTTTGTTAGATTCTTTGCCAGCAATTATCAACCCCACTCAATCCAATCCATTTAATAAAAATCAATTTCTTATTTTGCCTTCAAGCCCAATCTCAGTTCTAAGATTAGTTGCCAGAAAATTAGTATCAACTGCACACTGAAGATGCATAAAAATCCACAGGGAACAGTAGGCAGAATAATAAGAAATCCATTAGTGGCTAATCAACCAGTGCAATCAAAGAGAGATTAATAGAACAGCATTTGTAACATAACAGTTCTGCTGCCAACATGCAGAGCAGCATCAAAGCTTTTAAGAAAAAGAGACCAAAACAACCTGCAGCAGACTCCCATATGAATGCTCTAAAGAGATCATAAAATACTGTCTGGGGATTTACAATACTATGTTACCAGATGAAAGAACATCTTGGCCTATTTGAATACAAACTATCTAGAGCAAGAGTTCTCAACCAGGGGAACGCATACCCATGGGGTACTTGGAAAGGTCATGGGAGTACGCGTGGCTCTTATGAGGGGGAGGGGCGCACCGGGCACAGCTGGCCCCACACAGCACACTGCAGCACCTCCCCACCCCCACTGCCACCCCAGCTTGCTCTCCTGATTGGCTCTCAGGGCACATGCGTAAATACACATGTAGACATGCCCAGTAACTATTTACTACCTCCCCACTCCCCTTCTACCACCTTCTCCTTCACAGAAGGAAACACGTCTGCTTTCAAGTTTGGAAAGTACACAGCATACTTTAGGTACTACGTGAAATGAGATTTCTGCCCATGACACAGACATGATTTTTTGGATACTTTAACAAGTTAAGTAAACATACATTGTCTTGAAGAAGCGAGTGTCATAATTAAAAGGGACAAATCACACACAAAAACATCCAAACTCTGGTTTAATTCTGAATACATACACGGAAATATAATCTGCTACCTTTATTCTTTAAGCAAGAGATGCTATGCAATCTGCATATTTAGAAACCATTCCTTTAATTTCTGCCCACCTCTTTAAATCACAGCTGTAATTGTTTGAAAAACTAACCCTCACCTTTCTTCTCTCTGGCAATTTGTCTCACGCCTTCTCTGAACTCGGACAAAACTTGTAGGTACGGCATGACTGTAGACTCAAGCTGTGGAACAAATATGTTGATGATTAGGTTGTGATAATTTATATTCATTTTTTTTCCCTTAACTGTTTGATATCTGTGCACTTTGGGGCTAAATTCAGCCCTGTTTTTCTAGGGAGTTACATGGAGTATAGTATAACTGACCTCTCGCAGCGGGTCCTCTGCTAGTGTATACTGTCAGTTTCATTGACTTCAATAGAGCTATTGGAATTCACATCAACTGAGGAATTGTCCCTTCATGTTCAGTAGTCTGTTTTATTCAAGTAAAACAGCTTGCAAGAGAAAGCACACAAGAGTATCACTAAGCACCTGCCCTGAAGTCATGTTCACATCAGAATACAGAACCATTCCACAAACAGCAGGTTACTAGGATTTTATTTGCTTTCTGCAGCTTAAAAAAAAGGAGTAATTTGCATTTCTAGGCTCTGCTTTGGCAACAAAATAAGAGTCAGTGAACTCAGGTGAAAGAAAATGTCCTTGTAAAAACCCCATGACAGATCTCAAGACTTCTGCTTCAAAGGTGACAGAGGCACATGAACTGTTGCTGTTCACACAAGAGCACTGCACCCCAATGCTGTTTGGGATATCCTAAGTGCAGAAGCCCAGCATTTAAGATCAACTATTCCAAATATTTCTTTAAACAGAGGGAAAGGGAGACAAAAAGGTTGGCATTGAATACATGCTGATTTTTAAAAGTTTATCCCTTTGTGGAGTTGGTCCCCTTTTCAGATCTATTTACCTCCTCATCACCACTCATGGACAAGGTGCCAAAGAACCACCGTAGTCTATGTAAATGCACCCAACTGCCTGAAATTAGGCTTTGGACAGGTATAAAAAAAAAACAGCTTGGACATTCAGCTGGACAATTTTGCTAAGAACAAGAAAAGCATGGAAGGTAGGTGCCTATACATTCATGAAAACAAGAATTTTTAAGGAGAGAACACTGGGAAAATAAATATCATGCATTGTTTTCTAACATGTATCTTTAAAAAAAATTAAGGATCAAACAACTGATAATTTAATAGGTGAAAATCCAAGCCTCTTTCTTTAAAAATACAAAACACAATTTTGCTAACAGGTGTGGGGCTGCTAACAGTGACTTCTGATGCTTAAAATGACATGAGTTTTCACAAAAACAGGAGATTTAATATATTAAATGAACTCTACAGTTTTATATCCTACTCCAAGTTCAGAATGTTTTGATGCCTATTAACCTTGACAGTGTTTTTAGAACAATGAAAAATTTTGCTTGTTGCCTAGGCTAACGCTAGTCCTTTTGCTAGGCACATTTTTTTCTAAGTGCTGCCAGTTCTCTCAGAAACATTTTTTTATTTCATCTATGCAAGATAATGAACAAGGCTGTAGCCTTTCTGTTGGAATTGAAGACAACAGTTTTTGTTAATTCGGAGCTCCATTAAAAATCCAATATTCATGATTTTTTATATGAGATACACAGTAAACTCTTCACTACAAGTGTGAAAAAAGAGAAAAATGACTTGAAGTCAATAACATGATTCTACATGTATTGTGCTTACATCTGAATGATCTCACATGATGATGTTTGGAGCGGTGACACAAAGGATGTTGTACTGAACACACATGCATGCATACACACACGGAAGCTACGGTATTTTCAAGTTGGATTTTCTCTCTGAGAAGAAATCATTATCACTCCCTTGTGAAAGAGGTGAGCCTATCAGCAGCTCCAGCAAATGTGTCCCAACTAGTGTCAAGAAAAATCACTGTCTTTGAGAACCAAATAAAATTTGACCCATAACTCTTCATTATGCGTACTATAGGGAGACCAGAAAACAAGGAAATCAGGATCAAACAACTGTCTCTCAGCTACCTTTTGGGTTACCCCTCAATAAGCTCTTTTGTTGCTTTTATTTTTAAAATTATTTATATAGTAATAAGTATCTGCAAGGAGCCTTTCACTTTAGCAAGTATGGTTTAGAGCAGTGGTGGCCCAACCTTTTGGCCCAAATGATCAGATAAGTGGGGTGGAGCCAGTCCATGAGCCACAATGAGCCCTGCATGCCAGTACCGGACTCTAGGCCCAACACTGCCCCCTCTCACTGTCACACACCAGGATTCATCCCTGGGGGCCTGGCACCTCTTCTTCCTGCTCAGTGCACTGGGATTAGCCACTTGGGGCCTAGTATTGCCCTCTCCTACCCAACATGCTGGGATTGGTTCCCAGGACCCCAGCACTACCCCCTCCCACCAGGATTGGTCCCCAGGGGCCTGACACCAGCCATTCCCACTCAGCACACTGGGATTGGGTCCCAGATGCCTGGTGCCACCTCCAGCAGCCCCACCATACTAGGATTGGGTCCTGGGTCCCAGAGCCACCTCTGCTTGACCCTGTGCACTGGAATCAGGAGGCTGGGCCAGTGCACAGGGCCTGGGGCTCCCCACAGGTGGGGAGTGGTACCACTGCTCTCCTGTCATCAAATTTCATAACCTGTATCATACACTGGATGATATGTGGCCATGCGCCAGCTTTGGCTCATAGGCCAGGGGTTGATCACGACTGGTCTAGAGTCAAAATGGTTCCTTCTTTCTTGCCTGACTTCATTACTTAGAAAATAAAATCATCTGTTTTTTTCCCACCTTATCACAGCCCCCATTTATCCATCATTAAACTAGAGATAAAGATTCTGATCCCACAATAAAATTCTGCTCTCTAGCCCCTGAGTAAGTGTAAAATCTCTCAATTAATGTTAATGGAATTATTTCAGACAGACACTGTTAAAAACAAATGAATGGAATTTATCTGCATGTAGCTGTTTTTTAATGTAGTCTGCCAAACTGTACAGCAGAACAGAGTAAGCTGTCATAGTGCACTTTGTTCTCCACTTACATTTACATTCTGGCCATTTCTTCCAACAGGGAAACCGACAATTTCATCACTTTCTATGGCACCAAAAATCTATTCACGGAAAAGGAAATTAAAAGGATTTACACATTAAAGAAAAGGTACCTCGGTGGCAGAAATAAAATATATTAAGATCTGAAAAACCCATCTGATTTATCTACATCTCTTTAGAAGCTCACAAGGAGATTTCTTTTAGTCATAAAGCATCCCAAACAACTGACAGTCAAGCTGTCTTAGTGCAGGGGTGGGCAAAATGTGGCCCACAGGCCGGATATGGCCTGCCAGGCCATTCTATCTGGCCTGTGAGGTCCCTAAAAAATTTAGAAAATTAATATTTATCTGCCCCCGGCTGCCTGTCATGTGGCCCTCGATGCCTTCCCAAAACTCAGTAAGCGGCCCTCTACCCAAAATAATTGCCCGTCCCTATCTTAGTGACATTAATCCCATGACTTCAGTTCACAGCTTTTTTTACTGTCTAATTTTTCTGTCTTTATTACCATTTACCAAATATAATCAAACTGAAAACACAGCTGAGAGAACTCCAGGTTGTTCCAACTGTACCCATGGATTAGCATTTTATTTTTAAATCCAAACTGCTCCCGTCACTGTAGTCACTCATCTATATATATAACTATATTTGGGGAAACGTCACTATAGCATTTGGGCTCTGTATTGGCACCTTTATTTTAATTTTATGTAAAGGTAACACGTACCTTTAGCATTTGAGTGAGATAAGAACTGACGCTTTCCAGCAAAAGTCTATTTGGCATCAGTCTGGCAGACTTCTTTGCAGCAATGTAGGAGTTGCTCTGACTGATTAAAGATCGCATTTCTTCCAAGACAGTGCGGGTGTCAATGTTGTCACACAGTGCTTCATGAACTGCTGCCTTCTTGTCATAAAAGCTAAAACCAGAGAAGAACAGACTAAGTTTACCATTTATATTAAACATACCTGTGCCCCATCAATCCTTGGTGAATGTTTCTTAGAAGCCCAAAGTGGAATTCAAAATGGTATCTCCTTTCCTTGGTTAGTCTGTATTTGAAAAAAGGTTAATTTAAGAAAGGGTATGTTAGATTTCATTGTACAAGCTATTTTGTTCAAATATTTAAAACAAGGCAAACATTATATTACTTCAGTATGGCTCCCAAGGCCAGAGGCAGACTGTGTTATCCAACAGGTGGCAGCTGTGCAAACAAATTAGTTTTATCTTACATTATAGCAACTCTAAATGTTTTAAAAGCCATACAACTTGTTTTCCCAGTCTCTGGTGCAGCTGTGTCCCCATGCTGTACCAGCTCTACACTCTACTGAATGCATTCCTCATGAGGAGCACTGATTTGGGAAAAACTTACTTAGAAGCAACATGCTCTAAAGCTGTTCCAAGTAGACATCATGAAAATTTCCATCTAAGCAGTTATGGTTGAGAACCCCAATTTGTAATACATAATCTGTGTCTTCCCTAGATCATTTTGCAAAAGAGATTTATTTTTGAGAGAATTTCTTTAACTTTCATTCCAAAGGGCATCATCTGCTCCATAGAGGAAAGGGAAAGAGAACGGAGAAAGATAAGGGACAGAAAGAATCAAAAAAGGGAAGAAGCAAATATTATCTTTCCAACTCCTTTTATCCTCTCTTTTCTAATTCATGATTCAGTATTTTAAGATTTTTCTTATATAACCTTCAATTTCTCTCACTGCTCTGTATTAAGTAGAAATTCATGCAGTGCAGTAATAAATTGGTACAACTGAACTTGGAAATCCAGCACTGCACACTTCCGTCTCCAAGTCTAAACTAGCCTGACAATTTAATCACCAAGGATCCTGGTTTTCTCTCTTTAAAAACTGCATATTCTCTGATAAAAACTGCAAATTCTAATTAAAAATGCAAAATCCATGATTAAAATGAAATGTCACTATATATCTATATATCGTATCAAGTGACCACAATGTTTTATTGATATATTTATATTTTTAAAGCAATTTGGAAGCCTACCAGTGCCTCAATCACTATAACAAAATAACTTCTAAGCACCTATAAATTTTGGTATTTGATTTTGGGTATTTTACTGTGGAACATCAGAGCTCCCCCTGCCCCTTAGCGCACCAGGATGCAGGTCCAAGTCCCTCACTCCCAAGCCACAGCCCCCCACCCCTGATGGTGCCACTAACTCCCCACCCACAGCCCCCCACCACCCCAAGTCTGCCAGAGGGGGCCTCCAGCTGCCAAGGCTACAGAGCCAGGGACCTGAGGCTGCAGCCCGCTGCAGCAGCACCTGAGCTCTGGCTGCTGCCTACAGAAGATGGTGGCTACTGGGGCAGAGCAGAGCATGGAGCCCAACTCCCCCTCCCCCACCGGTGGCATGACTGCAGTGGAGCCCTGGGGGGAGGGGTGGGGGCAGGCAGGCAGGTGCAGTCTGTTCACTGTGGGCTCAGGCTCTCTGCCTTGCTGCCCTCCCCCCATGGCCCAGTGGGCAGGACCCAGTGCAGCAGGGCAGAGTGGGGCTTGGCAGCGAAGCTCAGTGCCACTGCTGGAAGCTCCATGCTGCCAGCAAAATGCCCCCTGCCCACCCAGCAGCAGACACCAGCTGTGTGCGACCACACCCGCTGTTGCCAGGCAGGCTGGCGGTGCTTTGCCAGGGCAGGGGGGGAGCTCACAGCAGTGGCATCAAGCTTCTCCTCCCTGCTCTGCTCTGATACGCCGGGTCCTGCCTGCTGGGCTGCACAGGCAGGACAGCACGGCGCACAGCCCAAGCCCGCAGTGGGCAACCCGCATCTGCCCCATGCACAAATCTGGGGGGCATGTGCCCCCCCATTCCCCACAGGCAGTGCCCTCCTGCTCCACAAGATGAGTCACCCACGGCTCTATCCCACCCACCACCCAGGCCCTGCAGTCATATGCTCCAGCCCCAGGTCCCAAACTCCATGCATTGCCCCCGTTGGGCAGTAGCCCCAGCACCAGCCCTGCCCAACTCCCTCCCTGCCTCCCTCACTATGGGTCCTCAATCCCTGCCCTGCCCCCATGCCAGATTTGCCTACAGGAGCTGCTCTCCAGGCTGTCTGGCAGCCATGTACATGTGTGAGCATGCACATGCACATGGTGCCCCATGCCTTACTACCCTCCTCATGCTGACCCCAGCCCCCCTGCAGGCTAGAACTCTGCCAGCTTGCAGAGAACTCGTTGAAAAAGTGGAAGATTTATGTGTTTCTCCATTTAACTGAAAAATCCATACTTTTCTCAGTTAAAAGGGAAAATCCATAGGGTTTTTTGTTTTCCCATGGGAAACTGAAAACCTGGATCTTTGTTAATCACTAGCATTCCAACAAGCAGGTTTTCCTGGCATTTTAATTCTTTCTTTGTGCCATGCATTATACTTCTTTATTAGACTTTGGTAACTTCCAAGGAAATGCTGTGATGAATGTTTCTTTGTTAAAAAAATTAAATAGTGTATAAAGCAGTTTGTGTTATATCCACCGATGGAGGATTTCATTACAATGTGGAAAAGGAACAGCTAATGGTAAAATGACCAGAGTGTCAATATCACTATTCCATAGCCCTAAGCTGAGAAGACCGAGTCAGAAGCATCACAGGTCTTATCTTTTGTTCAATCATTCTGGACAAGAATCTTTACTTCAATGTCTTGATTTCCCCACAGCACTTTGAAAATGTTAATGTATTATGCAAGTGCCAAGGATTATTATTACTACAATTCAAACCCATTACATCATTGTGATCAGTTAATTGTATCATGTTTCAAGTAGGGAAGAAACTCACGGACACATAACCAAGCACAGATTCAAATCAGAGAAATTCCCCTTTCAATACTTAAACATAATGGTGTGCAGTAATTGGGCACATTAGTGTCATTAGCATCATGCCACCCATACATCTTAAAGCTGTTGCAGGGATAAGGTCATTAGCTTGTAAGATACTTCCATCTTCAATGGAAGCTGCTATAGCAATGTAAAGTATTACCATATTTACTTGCATACAACACATCTTTCCCCAAAAAAATCATCCCTCCAAAATTGAGACATGCATGTTAAGCAGGGAACATGATTTCCTGCACCAGATTAAAAGCATGTAATGACTGTCATATAGTGGTTTACTACAATGGCTTCCATGAGCTGTGCTTCTTTCCCAACCCAGGAGGGAGAGGCAGAGTGTACCTTTCAAGAGTGACACTGAGGAGTGGGCTCTCTCTCTCCTGTCCAGTACCAGCATTCAGCCATGTTTAGCCCAAGGTGTGGCAGTTAAAATTCTGGTAAAATCTTTTTTTTTCTTCTTCATTTTTCCTTCCCATAACAAGGTGTATACGTTTTTTTGGAAGCATGTGGTATGCAACTAGATATGGTATCATGGGGTCAAGAAAAGGAAATGGCCATTGGAGAAAAGGGGGCCATAAGTGCTTATACAAAATGTCAGAATAAACCTACCTCACTCACCTTTTATTCAGCTCTATTTCCTGGCTTTCCCATTTCTGAAACTGGCCTGTAACTTCAGTAGGGGACCGAAGAATGTCCTTCACATTTAAAAAGAACTCCTAGAAAGGAAGGATAGACTTTGAAATCAACTTGAATTCTATACACTCAGTATTGATTTCTACAAAGTATATTTTTATTTAACTTTTTAAAAATACTGATTTCTTGGACACTGCTAAAGCCAGGGCCTGACTTTTTAACAGAAAACACAAAATGTGTATAGTTTCCATTACACAATACATCACATTATGGTTGTTAAGCTATTCTATGTCTACACTGCAAGTCTACATAACATACAAAGATCTAATTAAAAGCCACTGCATTAAAAAAATAAAAAATAAAAAAAGAATGACAAGTTTTAAATGGGAATTCCTGTGACAAGTTTTAAGCATGCTGCCAACTGTGGACAAAATGGGCTAATGATGGTCTACACTTGTTATATATCTTCTCATTGCCTGCTTTATTCCAGGCTGTGGAAACCTAAGATATGTGTTTGGGAAATAAACAAACATACTTTTTTGTTGTTGGTGTATTTCTGATACTTACTAATACATTATTACTTTCCTCTTATTAGATTCCCATGAATTTTCTTGAAACAACAGTTCATTTCTAATGCCTAGAGAGTATGCAATCTGTATTGTTTGGGGTTTTTTCTGTTGCCTCAAACCAATTGTCCTTAACTACAATTCACCAAATAAAATTAAATTGTATATTGCGTGTTACAAAAAAAAGAGTATGTATCAAATTAGATATTATGGAAAGGAAGGGCTAAGTAGCAGCAATCTGAGAAACTTGATTCAGGTAGATGCAATGCTTTTTTTCTTTTATACAGACTGTTCTGCAATTCACATTAACCTTATCAGGCACCTCTCATTTCAGAAACATGCCTCACTTAAGATGGCATTCCAAGAAGGGCAGAATTGTGACATGTGTGACAGGAATAAGGAGCAGAAAGTTAGGTACCTAACTCCCTCCACTTCAGATTCACATCCTCTGGTGGAGTTAGGTACCTAAGACAGGTCCGTCTTTCACTGTAGAACACAGCAAGGAAGTGATGGTGGTGTGCTGCCTCATGCAAATCAGACCAATGACTAGTGTACTGACCTGGAAGGAGATTCAGGTTCAGGCAGAGGAAGGATTCAAACTCATAATCCCTATTTCGCAGGAAAGGGCCCAGTCCCCTGGGCTACAGTATTCTAAGATGGGTTAGCCTCATTTTCTTCTGTTGAAGCTATTCAGTCTAAGAAAGTTTTGACTCCTCATTGGGCCAGAGTTTGAGAGACCTGCAACTACATCTTGGTAGTTAATTAACTCATCTGGGATACAACCTACTATTGTGTATAAGGGAGTAGTAATTCCTCCTATTTGGCTGCATTTTGTGCACGGCCGGATCTGGAAGACATGTTCTGAAATTGCCTACTGAGACAGACCCTGCAAGTGAGATAGGCAGGGGAATGCTTAGTCTGTGAATCCTTCTGAGGTCTAGCTGCCAAACTGCTAAGCTGCATCAGGACACAGATGACTCTGCACATGTTCAGCAGTTCAAAAATGATGCGTCTCCCGACTTTAATAATGTCTAGGGTCAAGCAGCAGCCACGTGGAGATTCCAAGGCTCTCAATTTTGAATGTAGGGGCCTAAAATAAGCCATGTGCATCTTGGTAGACTTAACCTGTGGCTCCTTTTAGGAGTGAGTTCCACTAAATGGTGTGTACAATAGCACAAAGTTGGGATGGCAGGGGAAAAGAAATCTTACTTACATTCATGAATTTCTCATACTGAATAGCTGATTCCATGGTGTTGTTTGAATAATCCAGTGTGTCCTTCCAAGAGTGCATCAGGAAAGCCAATCGTAATTGCCTTGCTATAATGAGTTTTAGAAGGCATGAGGAAAAATTGTCATAATAATCCGAAGTACTTCCATGGCCCCCAATACTATAGTATCCAGGTGCCCACAGTCTTTAACATGCTTATCTTAAAACCCCATGAGATAGGGAAGCACTATTATCCCCATATTCCAGATGGGGAACTGAGACACACCTAGTGGGAACAAGGCACCTTGAGACTTTTGAAAAGGCTACTAGGTACATAGCTACAGCTTTATGTAGATAAACACCTTTAAATCTTCTTGCCTCCTGTGTGACCTACCCAAGATGACACCAAAATTCTGTACCAAGGCGTAAACATGAGTTCAGTCCTCCAGTCCCAGGTTAATATTCTAATCAGTGAACCACCCTCCCTTTATTCCCTTCTAAATTAGTTTCACTTACATTCCAATGTACTATTGGACTACAGTATGCTACCGGAGCTAGCCTATTGTATTATGAACTAAAAACATTAAGCACAAGTTCAGTTAAAACAGAACCAAAATTGGCTAATCTCCATTTTTTTCAGGGAATCTACAAGAAAAAACACTGTTCAGATTTATGTTTTTTTATGAGCCTTTTTTCCTAAACTGATTTCTTTCTTTCCCAATTTTTCTACCAAAATAAAAAGTGCACTTCTGCAGTCTTTCCAAAAAGTAATTTCCATGATAAACATCTACCTGTATGTTTCTTTAGTGCATCTTTGATGGTAATGAAGTTCTTTAAAGATTTGGACATTTTACAGCCAGCAATTGTTAAGTGACCAGTATGCAAAAAATAACGGACCCAGTGATCATTTTCAAAATATGCCTGCAACAAAATCAAAAAACAGGAAGGTCATTTGTTATGCATGCATACATAGTTGGTTGCCAAACGACCAAAAGGATAACAAACAAAAGCACTATGATGATACCATGCCTCCGTTACTTTTTTTTTTTACTCTAAGTAGGACATTTCTGTCAAGGGAATTTTTCCAATGGAAAATTTTAAAATTGGTTTTCTGAAGTCAATGTCCTTAATCAGGAGCTGCAAAATACTGCATAAATCTTAGAACAATATAATACCATTTATAGACTATGTGTTCACTCCTACAACAGGTTCTGTATAGACAAAGTCTTCCATCTGCTGGGAGTCCCACTGAAGGAGGGAAAGTCTCATTAATGCAGAATTGACTGCAGGATTGGGCACACTGATGTACCACCAGCATATTTACTCCAAAGTCATTCTGAACATGGAAAAATAAAGCAGGGCTTAAATCACAAGAGTGACAATGTGCTACTGCTTGAGTTATTAAAATCAGGGAAGGGCAAATCAGAGATGAAAATTCTTCTTAAATGAAGGTGAAATTTATTAGATTAGTTTCACGTTTTATTTTTGAAAAAAGCTTTTTTATTATTAAAAGTAAAGGCTCAGCATCAGAGCTCATAATTCTGCCTTACATTTTTCAACCCACTGCAGTTTTATATATAGAATATTTTTTGTGACTGGAAAAGAAATGGGAAACAGTATTAACCCAAATCCAAGACTATTCTGATTTTAAAATGACCCCCAGTAAGATTCTAGACATAAAATGTATAGGTTTGTTATAATTTTCTGTGTCTAGAATCTAACTATTGGAGGGTGTCATAAAATTTCCCTCTTTCCCCTGTACTGCGGTAGCAGGGCAAACAGTGGCAGGGAGGCAAACAGTGGGGGGAACCATAGTAGGGCAGGTGGTGGGGGGATCAAATGGCTTGCCCCCTGCTGCCTGTCTCCACCCATACCTATGTGCCCTGGTGCCTGCTCTCCCCCACACAGTCCCTGCCCCGTCTCCCATTCCCCACTACCTGCAGCCCTTGCTGGTTGCTCTGACACCCCTGTGCCTGTACACCCTGGAATTTATACTGCCCCCCCATAGTGTCTACCCCACACCTGCCTCACCACCATCTCTGCCTCTCCCTGTGGCCTGTTCTCCCCTCCCTCTAGATGCCTCTGCCCACTCTCCCCTGCACTAGGTGCCTCTGCCCTCAAATGCCTCACCTGCTTACCTTCCAGCCCTGGCCCCGCTCCAGCATGGGACATGGAACAGATGGTTGCTCTGGCCTCAGCCTGACCACTCAGCAGTGGTGGCAGTAGCTGTGGCCCCTACCCCAGCTGCAGGGCTTCACAGAGCTGCTGCTGCCACAACAGCTGCTGCAGGGCTGGACTGTTGCCAAAACAACCATCTGCTCTACGTCCCAGGATGGAGCGGGCCTGGATCTTTTTTCCCCTCAATGTAAAATGGCGGGAAAAAACTGTGTCCTACATTTGAGTATGGTAAATTACTATATTTTCTCATGCCTTCCTCACCCCTCTCCCCCAAAATCAGCCCCACAAATGTGGTACACGTTTTAAATGGGGCACTTGTTTTCTTTGCTGGAAAAGAAGTAGGCCTGGACATACTGTGCATGCCATGAAGCTGCCAAGATGCGTGGAGGGGCAGAATCTTGTGTTAACCCTCTCAGTTATAGCTCTTCACTGAATGCTATAGCTTGTGCCTGGAGCAACAAGTAAGCTGTTGGTAGGATCTTGATGAGGCTTGTGATGTGGAAAGAACACTTTATTTACAAGAACTTATATAAAGATCTACTTACAGCAAAGAATTAAGAGTCTTACTACTGCCCTTGCTAAGGTCTGGGGCCTAACTCTGTGTGACAGAGTAAGTCCTCCTGGGAACACAGAGGGCATTTATACATGTACCTTTTAGTTCTTGGACATGCCGGAGATCCACTGCTTCAGAGTGGATTTGATTCATCGAGTCTGCTCTTCATGGGAGCTGATGTGCACCGCGCTGCACTGTGTGCAGTTGTGTAAGTGGCAAAATGCACATCAATGCAGAGAAAATGGCAATGGTCTGCTTTTGAATGAAAGCATCTCCAAGATGCTTTCATTCAAAAGCACACCACTGCTATTTTCTCCAAGCTGACGTGCATTTTGCCACTTACACAACCGCAAGCATCGCCATGCCAGGATCTTTTCAAAGCGCTTTGCACTGCAGCGCTTACACATGTAAAAGAATTCAGAGTGTTCAGGATGGGTGGCATTGTGGGAAATAATCTGCTACACCAGAAGTTCCTGCTCTCTCACCCAGACTGTCTCCTAGGATGCCATGCTTCCTAGACACTGTACGTACCCATGAGGACTTACTTTACGTCACACAGTTGGACGTGATTCTCGAAAACTCTTTTTATCTACATTCTGCCTTCCAATAACAAGGTGAGTGTTTTATTTGGAGGCGTGTTGCATCCAAGAAAAGATGGAACCTTTTGTTCAGTTTGTTCACTTTGACATAAATTTGTGTAGCATCAATTTCACTATTGTGTAGATAATCAACTGCTAAGAGAAACTACATATTAAAATTAAGGTTTTTGAGAGGGTTATATGCCATCTTAAAATCAATTGCAAGGATCTGTGAAATTACAGTTAAATTTACATTTGTATAGCAATAAGGTAATAGAAATTAAAGACCAAGAATGAGAACTTCATCTACCTCAGACTGTGCCAATTCATTGTCATGGTGGGGAAATCGAAGATCAAACCCCCCTCCGTGAATGTCCATTGACTCTCCCAGAATAGACCCAGCCATTGCAGAGCATTCTATATGCCATCCTGGACGACCCTGTTTAGAGAGAAACAAGTTATTTCCTTGTATGTTAATTTTCTCTGTTGTCTCCCCACCCAAGATACTCTTACGGAAAAACTACTTCTCACCCTGACATAGTATGTAATATTCCCTCACTGGTTTCTTCTCTAATATATAATCGGTACCTTAAAGTGACATACAGAATGTGTAAGAGAGAACAGAGTCTCAATTTTCATCCACATTGATATTAATACATCTATGAGAAAAGAATAGTTTTGAACTTCAAAATTGTATACCATATATACAATATGCAGAACCTTTGCTGTATATTCTATATGAAGTATATTCTACATGCTGTATATTCTACATGATGTTTTCAAAATAATTTGATACCAAAATTTGGGGTGGGGTGAGGTGAGCACACTAGTAGGGAGGGAAAGACTGCAGCAAGACTTGGATAGGTTACAGGGGTGGGCTAACAAAAACAGGATGCGTTTCAA